TTTTCTGTATGACTGAAACTATTTTAAACGCAAAAAGTGTAAGACATTTTTCTTATAGTAAAAAAGACAAAACTAAAAATTAATATAATTATTTGTAAATATTAATTTTCTAACAACACTAATTTTTCCTGTTTTTTCATAAAGATAATTACCCACATAACTATTCAGAGGGCTAATGTGAATAATGAGAAAGGCTTAAGTGCTGTAAGATTGCTTTAATCAAACACGCATTTCTTAGCAGCTCTTGAAATTGTGTACTTCCTCCCTTGGTTTCTTAGGAAAATCCATTAGGAAAGAAGATTTCTCAAATAAGTAATGTGTGCTTTGTGTTTCTGAAAAGAAGAAACAAAGAACTGAAAAGAAAAGCTGGGTTGTAAGAAAAGACAAGCACTTTTGGAGTGTAATGTGCGTGAAATTGTATGCTTTAGAAGAAACAGTTTGTCAGCAGGCTACAAAGTGAAGATTCTTTGCTCAGAATGCTCTAAGTTAGTGTTTACTTTTGCTGTTTTCTTCTAACACACGTCATCCCTGTAACCTGGTTAAATGAAGGCAGCACTACTTGAAGATGTCGAAATTTCCATCTCAAATTAGGCCAGAAGGGATGGGGTGTAGTGACAGGGAAAATAGTAGAACAAAAAACATGGCACTGATGAAGGTGAGGTCTAATCTTTTCAATTTGTGAGTTGTCTCCTAGGAAGACAATGTCCACTCAGGAGGAAAATAAAACCTTAAAAGAAAATTCATAGGCTATAAAAATACTGGAACTAAGATCTGACAGAACTGAGAAAGTACTGATTCATCTGTCCCAAATTTTGTTAGAAAGAGAGTATGCTGTCTGCTAATACAAAACAGGAATACGAGTATGTAACTCAGAAGATGTTAGATATACTGTTAGTGAGTCAAAGAATGAGTAGAAGATATTTAAAAAGGCAATCTCAATAAATCATTTGCAATCACTAACTTTTGCTGTTTTCTTTTTTATTGGCATCTTTAAACGAAAGTTGTATTACTTGAGTCATTAAGGTAAGTTTATTCTGAAATTGTCATTATTCTGTTATTTACCTATTTACTAACTACTGAAATTATTGTTAACTGGGCAGGGGATGTAGCTCAGCAAAACAGCACTTGCCTAACATGTTCCCCGGCACGCTCTTCAGCAAAACAAAACAAAACAAAAAAAGCCAGCGTTCCTTGGATATTTTACTTCTTTTATGAAAAGAAATGAACATGGTCCAAATTTTATCTACTTTGCCTTTAAGATGCTTTGTTATTACTGATATGTTTTCCTAAAATTTTTTGTTTTCTACTTTTCCCATACGAATTATCTCATCCTAAAAACTAACACTGTTGTGGAAACATATAAAGAATGCATATAAAGAAAGAACAGGACCAGGTATTTAGCTCAGTGGTGCTGCCACCTACCTCGCAAGCGCAAGGTCCTGAGTTTGATCCCCGGTACAAAAGAAAAAAAGAAAGAACATAAATGATATATTCTCCACATATCAATAAAACAATGAAAACATTCATAAATGATAAATGTTTTAGTTATGTCACTTAATGATGATAATATGTGCTAAGAAATGTGTCAGAGAGCAATTGTTGTCACTGTGTAAACAATAGTGTACTTTCAAAACTTAATGGGATAGCTTACCATATACCTAAGTGGTATAGACCATTACTCCTAGGCTGCCAACCTATACCATGTTACTGTACCCAACACTGTTGGCAAATGTAACAAAATGGTAAGTAGTAGTGAATCTAGATATATCTAAACACAGAAAAGTGTGGGTAATAGGTAAGAGGAATTTTTACTTTCCTTACACTAGGAGACCACTGTCTTGTATGCAGTCTGCCACTCCCCAAATACTATGTGACACTTGACTGTCCTCTATATACTACAGTTTGTAGCCTTAAAGCCAAATGGAAATGATTATTACTGAACTGTATAACAAACCAAATGTAACATTATTGCGGTTATTTAATGAGAATATTTTCAAGTATAAATATTAAACCTTAAATCTGAAGTTTGCCATATACTAATGCATAAGGATGTCTTATCCAGAATCAGAAAGATATCATTAGGTACAAAGTTTTTTTTTTAATGGGTAATTAAAAGTCATTTTTTTTGAGGCAGAGGCCTCAAATTTCTGATCCTCCTAACTCAACTTCCCAAGTAGCTGAGATCACAGGAAGGTACCACCACACCTGGCTGAAAAACCACTTTTAACTTACTGCTAAATAAGAAGCTCATTCTAAGAAGAAGGTAGTCTTTTAGTGGCATTAGATAGCTTATGTACTAAAGCTTCATGAAATGACTCAAAAAATAAGTTTGCAATGACTCAGCTGCTCTACCTAAAGGAACACACATTTCTTACCAATAAATAGCACAGGGAGAAAGACAGGATCCAGGTCCGTGAGGCCTTTTTTTCACCATCTCCCATGGTCATACCAATGAAAAGTATATGAGTTAAATACGGAATGAACAAGAGTAATAACTCACGAAAATCTGAAGAGAAAAATCGATGGGTAGAGATACAGTGAAACCTTAAGAACAGGTATGGGATGTGAATAAAGATCTCGGCTCTCCCATTCTCTAGTTTGTCTCCTTCTACATGTGACACATGTGTAACCTGTTGAGCATTAGTCTCCTTTTCTGAAATGGTGATAATGGTCTCTATCAGCTGGGGATAATGTTATGAGAACTGAATGATATAATATATGTAAACATTTAATCCATGTAGTAAATGGCATGTAGTAATTGACAATAAATGGTATGGATTTTAAGTGAATTTTTTAAGCATTTGAAAATCGCAATTTTATGTTTAAGAAAAGTAACTGGTGTTAGACTCAGTCAGCATTTATAGTAGATCAGAAAAGGTCTACAGGGTGAGCTCCAAATGACTTATGGTTTACCCTGGCTGAACAACACAGCCTTTTTGTGAAGTAATCACACGACAGGCAAAACCCAAGTAGCCTGACCTCTGGTTGTATTCCCCTAAATCAATCCCCATTTTCAATGAGTCAACACAGTTGATTTTATGATTTATTTTTTCCTTTGGATTATTTTTAAATTTTGTTATGTTTACTAAATAAATTACAATTATGAATTATATTTTTAACTGAAACAAACTGAAGACAGTTTAAACAAACATAATTGTGCTATATGGCATGCATTAAATTGATGTATAAAGTAGCTAGTGGGTATACCTCAGTTTACAATTCTTATGCAGTGAAACATAAGACATATATTTTAATATAATAAGGAGCATACTCCTAAGGCAGTCAGTTTCAGGTTGATGAGAAACCTCTAAGTAAAGGTTATTAAGAATTCAAATTGCCCATCTTTGAAAACTTATGAGAGAAAGGAACTATGTGGTAAATCATAATCTCTTTTTACAAAACTATATGAGGAAGTTCTTATTTGCAGTGAAGTGATTTAAGGAGATGATATTTCAGAATGAGTTTGGCAGAGGATTCTGGAGTAGTGATCATCAAAGGAATTCTGATGAAATACAGGAAATTGAAGAGGCAGCTGTGAAGTTTTTTACTTAAAAAAATTATGATAAAATCTACAACCCAACATTTCACTTCTGCTTCTATATTTCAAAACATGAAGATAAAAGACTTGAATATGAGTTTTGTTAATGTCCTTAAAAACCGGGTCCATCTTATTGTATATTTTTATAAAATGCCTTTTTAGAGCATTATTCTACATATTTTGCAACAATCTTATTATATAATCCAGGTATAACTATCACAGTTACGACACGGCCTATGAATTTGGTTTGTTTAAAATATCACTGCTGAACAATAAAAGGTTAGTAGGATGTTTTTATTTTTTATGAAAAGCCTGTAGAAAAAACAAAGTAATGAGCATAACATAACTGAAATTTCAATAAACCTGTACACTTAACATTTTTTTATAACAAAGATCAGTACATGAAACTTCAGTAGGTGAACTTTCTCCAATCAATCATGAGATAAATAATGCAAAAATAAAACTTTCTCTTGATTACTTTCATTATTACCTTAAACTTCATTTCAATTTTGTTTGGGAAATTACTCTCTATTTTTGAACTATCGACACTTGCCAGCTTGTGAGTAATGTGCTCTTCTTTAAATAAGCACGAAAGAGCAAGCTTAAACCTCTCAGCACAGTAAACCTGTGATCCCAGGTATTTTGCCCCTAAGACATCAAAGGAAGATGGATCTAGAGATTTGTGATCCCGGGTGTTTTCCATCTCTGGGATAAGCTGCATATCTAATAAGAGACTACAGGATTTCCTGAGTGATTAGAAATCCCATGAATAATTAACTAGTCAGATAAAAAATTCTTTATTATGAGATGTTGAAGAATTCTGGGTAGAAAAGTAAAAAAAAAGTTTGATTTATTTGATTTTTCATTATTTCTGAAGAAAAAATGCATTGGTGGCTTATACTGTATCTGAAATAAAGGCTACAAAGACATACTTCTTGAGGCTGTCAAAAATATACTATGAAGAGTACTTTAGACCATGTAATCCTTGTTTTTCTTTATAGCCTGTTCCCTCTGAGTGATTATATTTCTAATTTTCAAAATGCTCATAGCACATGAAGCTCAGATACCATTGTTTTTAGCAAATTCAAAATTTACCAGCTTCTGTACCACTATATATATAAGAATATTATTTCCTTTCCTGTCCTGTTTGTTTAGACCTAGAGGGCTGCAGGATTGGCATAAATGTTCTCAACATTTTTCTAAATGTTTTACATTTCTGAACTTTAAAAGTGTTAAAATAGACATAAATGCACAGAAATATAAAATGTAAGTGTTGCAAGAACATGCAGGCAAGATCTAATTCTTTCAATGATGGGGCAATTCTATCATATCAACAAACTAAAATTAGTTCCCTTTTTCATTTATGATTATTTTTATGTTTTCACAGAGAGCATTTTGTCAATGCATACAAAACAAAACTTATTTTTTCCTTCTTAGAAGAAAAGTACAGAACTATACATACTGTATGGAACACATTCATACTGCACTTCAAGGTATTTATAGGTTCCTGGACATGGGTCTGGAAAAACATCAGGACCCGCCACCACTGCACACTGGGTTCTGTTATTGCATCTGAAAGCAAAAATAAAGACAACAGAGAGTCAGCTTATGCAATGCTAGATCATTATCATCATCAACACTATAACAGTTTAGTTCTAGTTACACAGATTTAAATAAAGATTTTGGTTGAATTCAGACAGTAAGGTTTTTCTAATTTTTTATTTATTTAGTTTTTTGGCAGCACCAAGTATGCTCAAGTATTGAGCTATCTCCCACCCTCTTTAATTTTTCATTTTGAGTTGAAATTTCCCAGGTTGGCCTTACACAGGCAGTCTTCCTGCCTCAGCCTCAGAGATCTGTGCACTGCATGACTCCACAGCATTAGTCTTATTGAACAAATGTCTGTGGTATATTTTTAAAAGACATGAAAATCAATCTAACATTAACTACCACTTGGTTGAAATCAGCATGATTTTGAGGTAGAAGTTAAGTGTTTTGAAGCAACAGAAACTGGACCATAGGATATTCCAATGTGTAGACAGTTAAGGAAGATTATTTGATAGCAAATATCCACTCCCATTCAAAAAGTACTGAAAAAAATATAACCACAGACTGTCAGTAGATACGTATAAAATAAATTGACTGATTATGATGACATTTATGTGAAAGGCAGTGAAATGTGGTATTGAACAGCTTTACCCAAGCATATAAGTTAATATTTAAATATTAAAATGTATATGTTAATTTACTTTATATAATTAATATTATAATACTAACTGTATCAATAAATCCATGTTTAAGAATTTCAGCAGGGCACAGTTAGGTATGGCTGTCATCCCATCATCTAAGAGGCTGAAGCAGGAGGATGGGAAGTTTAAGGACAGCCTGGGATATACAGTGAGACTCCATCTCAATGTAAAAATGGGGGGAATGTTGCTCAGTGCTAGAGAACTTGCCCAGCATACATGAGGGCCTGGGTTCAATCCCTATTATTGCAAAAAATAAATTTTATTTTCCAGGGTTTTTTTTATGTTCAGCTGAACAATGAGTCAAACTTCATAGATTAGATTACACTTCACAAATGTCAGTATCCTATAATTTAAAATAATATATTCAATTTCTAAACAGAATAATAAAATACCACTCGTGAAGCAGAAATTAAAAGCTCGGACACCTCTGTGGAAACTAAACTAAATATATTTGGATTGATTTATTCTTGGGGAAAATTACAAATAATAAAATTAATTCTTCCTTTGGGGGAAAAATCACATTCAAGGAAGTCTCATTACTGTAAATTTCAATCAGAAAAATTCCTAGATTGAATAATGCTATAAGGTTTTTTATGCAGAGAAATAATGGTTTAATCCCCCATAATATTGGCATGAAATATATAGGATGAACATACTGAATATTCCTTCTTTTATGTTGTTGATTCACTTCAGAAATATAATTTCAAGGCTAGATTTTCCTATTACTTTTTTAACAAAAGGCTCATTTCTTTATATGATCCACAGCTCCGGATACTTGCGATGATACTGGCAGCATAAGGGAAGGAGGGCAGAACTCACTCTGATTTAAAGTAGAAAATTTGTTATGTTGACTCGAGGCTACTATTTGTAGGCCTAATGAGGATGCTACTTAGTCCCTAAATTAAAATGTAAATGTCTTAAACTGAAAAATATATTCTGCATTGTAAGTGAAAAATTAATAAAAGCCTATAAGATCATAGGCTTCTGGGAGTTCAGCCTAACAGTTACTCCTCAGAGTCAGCAAGTCTTATAGTTCCCCAGTGCACATATAATGTCTGTGGCTGATGATCAGCTGTACAATAATAATAATGGAAATGCGGCCGTCCTTGCACATGCACTGAAAATAGGCAGCATCATATTTTAGAGTACTGACATTTCTTCTAAACAGCACTAATGTACCTCCTTATTACAAAGAAAATCCATTTAAAGAATATATCTCAAATTAAATTACGTATTTTCAACAGTTAAGCCAATACAACTTTCACATCACAACACAGATTACATATAGAATATTTCTCTATGTAAGAAAATTTAAAAAGTGATCATGTTGTAAATACTAATTACCACTGTGACTTCCAAATGTTTTATTTAATAAAAGATGAGTCAAGATATGCTTTTAATTAATGAAGTAGTATATGTGAAGTATAAAAACCAAAAAAAATACTATGCCACTAATATCTTTATAGTCAGTATCAATGATACTCTGTATAAAAGTGCTACATTTCAAAATAATTTATTGTTCTATTATTATTTTGTATCAAGCCACTTTAAAAATCCAAGGGAGAAAGGCAGATTCAATATCTGGCATATTATTTTTACATAAAATACAGAATAAGCATTTTAACAATTAATATTTAAAGATGAACCATATTTTGAAAACACAGTTTAAAGATACTATCTATTTCTTAGTTGTTTTCCTAATACTTTATTTTCTGTGACTCAAAATGAAATAACTTTATACTGATCACAGATTTTTTTTTAAGAATTTACCCCCAAAAGACTACTTTTATAGTTCTTCCAAAACTGCCAAAAGTATTCATTTTAAAATACTATAAATGAAAGAAGAAAAATAAGATAAAATCACCTAATGCTCTGAAGTGCTTTAAACTCGGATATTTAATTGCTTACTTTTAATATAATTATGAATTTTTAAATGATTTTCAGTATTATTCATCCATGATATTAAAGATATTTTCAAACCCACAATAACAGATGAGAAAAAGATTGCAATAATATGGTCAAATATATCCTATCCTACTAACACCAAGAAAACGTCATAAACTTATAAAAGCATTTGAAGAATTATTTACCTTACATTTACATTATATTATTCCACAGAAACTTTATGTGAAAACAACCTGCATACCAACATTTATATCATTAAGTGACCTTGACAAATAAGAGATAGAATTATCAAAAAAACTCATAGAATTTATTTTCACAAAAATAACATGGACTTGTTATTTTATTATCTCTTGGGTTGACATGCTTATTATAAAATTGTTTTAGAAAAAAGACACTAAGTATCATGCATATGTATAAGGTATAATGTAGATATTGTTATCATCACAAATATCATTATTAATAGTAGTCATTTGTTTCAGGTAGGTTAACAACATTTCATTGCAGATAGACTAAATCCATTTGAAAGAAACAGAACCCAGAAATAGTGACACCACAGAAACCACATAAATGCTTCAGATTCAGAGTAGAAACTGGAGAAAACAAATTCATATTAAAAACAAACAAACAAAAATCAAAGTGAAGTTCTTTATTGTACATAAATTACTCTCCTTTGTATGACTGAAAAATGCAATGAAAGTTCAAAAGTAAAAGATACATTGCCATTAGTGTCCCTCAAAATACTTCTTCGAATTCAAACACACTTATTCCATCATTCTTAGCAATGTGTCTTTTACTATAATTTATTAAAAATTTAAACATTCACCTTAAACTTTGTTGTATACCCTACAATAAGTCCATGATATAAAGTAAAAATGCCCTACAACTGATAATCCTTCCAACTTAGAAAGCATCTTCACATATATCCTATTTATCATTCCTAATTTTTACTCTAATTCATCTTCCTTGATTTTATCTTTCCAGCTTTGACTAATAAAATTGTATATGTATTTAGACGTTCCAACAAGATGTTTTTACATACATATATCTTGTGAAATTATTAGGCCAATAGAGGCAATTATCATAGACATCATGTCAAAGTCATTTTGTTTTCTTTGTACACTGAAAAAATTTAAGATCTACCCTTTTAGCAAATGTCAAACACACAATACTGTGCCAGTTAATCTTAACTGTCAATTTGACTAGATTAAGAGACTCCTGAAGAGGTGACTGCATCACCATCATTATACTTATCAGTGGATTAACCTCCTGATGTTACAGGTGAATATGCTAGGAAGAGTTGGGGTCTAATTGGAAGGTGCACTGAGGGTGTGCCCTTGGAGAGTGCATCTCTTGCTGACATTCTTTCCTTATTCTGTGTTTCCCAGCTGCCAGGAAGGCAGCAGATTTTCCCTTCCACACACTTCTGCCATCACATTCCTTCATTAGAGCTCGCTGACAATGGACTGCAACCACTGAAAATGTAAGCCAAAATAAAGCTTCTTCAATTAGCTGTAGGCCTCATGTATTTTAATCTAGTGACAGGAAATATGACTAATACAAATACAGTATTATTATTTTTTATTTGTTTGTTTTTTGGTACTGGAGATTGAACTCAGGACCTATCACTTGTGAAGCAGGTGGCAGAACCACTGAGCTAAATCCCCGGCTCCCAAATACAGTATTATTAACTGTAATTATCATCCTGTATATCAGATCACTAGAATATACTAATCTTCCATTATAGAAACTTTATCTCCTTTTATCAGCATTGCTCCATTTCCCCTACTCCTCTGCCACTGGCAACTTCCTTGGCCCCTGGCAACTTATACTCTCTGCTTCTGTAAGTTTCAGTTACTCATATTTCACATGTAAGAGAGATTATACTTTCTTTTCTTTCATTCGACCCATTTTAGTTAGTGTACTATCCTTCTGATGACACAGTTTCTTGCTTTGTAAAAGGCTAAATAATATTGCATTGTATATTTTGTGTGTGGATCACATTTTCTTTATTCACCTATTCATGGATACTTAGGTTGTCTTGCCTATTTTGAATAATGTTGCAACTAACACAAGAGTATAAATAATCTCTTTAGGATACTGATTTCATTTCCATGGATACACATACTTTCAGAAGTCAGACTGCTGGACCATACAGTAGCTCTATTTTTAATTTTTTGAGAGCTTACATACTGTTTTACATAAGGGCTGTACCAATTTACATTCCCACCAACCGGGTACAAGAGTTCTTTTTTCTCATATCCTTGCCAATGTTACATTCTGTTTTTCATCACAGCTATACTACTAGGTATGAGGTGAAACACTGTGGTTTTGATTCACACTTCCATGAAGATTAGTGAAGTTGACCATACTTTCATATACCTGTTGACCATTTGCATTCTTTTTTGAAATCTTTACCAT